GGCGCGCAGCTCGCGCAGCAGCAGCAGCAGTACGGGGAGGGCGGGGACGCCAGCTTCGCGGCGCTGCTGGGCATGGGCCCCGGCGGCGGCACGGCCGCCAAGCTGCAGCAGCAGCAGGGCGGCGGCGGCGGCGCATCCCCAGGCGTGGGCTTCCAGGAGGAGGAGTTCCCGGCGCTGCCTGGGACGATGGCGCGTGGCCCCGCTGGCGCGCAGCAGGCCGCGCTGCAGGCCATGCTGGCCGGCGTGGGGCCCAACACGCAGCGCGGCCAGCAGGTGGCTGCAGCGCTCCAGCAGCAGCAGCAGGCGGCGGCGGCCGCGGCGCAGGCCCAGGCGGCCGCGGCGGCGCAGGCGGCGGCCACGGCCGCGCAGGTGGCGGCGGCCGACCCGGCGGCCGCCGACGCCGCGCGGTATGGGCTGCTGGGCCTGGTGGACGTCATCCGCACGCCGGAGTCCGACGCGTCCTCCCTGGCCCTGGGCTTCGACCTCACCTCCCTGGGCCTGAGCCTGAACTCTGCGGAGCCCATCTGGAAGGAGTTTGGGTCGCCCTGGGGCGAGCCCGCGGGGAAGGTGGACGCCGAGTTCAAGGTGAGGACGGGCGCTTTTGTTTTGGACGTGGGACTGCCGGAAGGTGGGGCCTTGGAAGGGGTGTTCTGCGGTCGATGGACTGTGGCGCCCCGGGTTTCTTGTAACGGCCACTCAGAAGAGGCCGACCTCCCAATCCCACTCCATCAGCACCCCTCGTCCCCCGCTGCCCTGCATGGGCCTGTATGCTGCCTCGCCCCCCCCCTTTCCTCCCCCGTGCTCCGACAGTCCAGCGGCACCCTCCATCCCCCACTTCCCACCAGACCCCCGCCTGCTACCAGCACAACCCGTTGAGGCTGTCCCAGGCCTACTTCTCCAAGTTTCAGCCGGACACGCTGTTCTACGTGTTCTATGGCATGCCGGGCGAGGACGCCCAGGTCCTGGCCGCGGAGGAGCTGACCAACAGGTGCCTGGTCTTTGGCTGTGATGGTGTTTTGTGTGTTGCAAGGGGGGAAAGGGGTGGAGCAGTGGGCTTCAATGGGCCTGGGCCTCTGGGGGGGAGGACCAGTGGCCATCCTCGCCGGTCGCACCTGCCCCTGTGTTTGCAGGTGTCTTGGGCCACCTGGCCCCCTCAGGCTCGCCGCGCCTCAACAAAGCCGTACCCTCGTCACGCTCCCCGCTCCCTCCACCGTTCCCAGGGGCTGGTACTTCCACAAGGAGCTCCAGGCCTGGCTGACGATGGTCCCTGGCACTGATCCCACCCAGAAAACGGACCGGTGTGTTGCTGGGTCGGGGAAAGGAGCTTTGTTGCCGGGATGTCCACGGCAGGGCTTGCGGGCCGATAAACCGGCGAGGGGTACGGTGGATCCAGGTCCAGAGGTGGATGCTCTGAGAGGCGCTCGGGCGTCCCCTCCGCCCATCAGACCCACGGCGTTGACAGGGGAACCACTCCCATCACTCTCCCTGACACCCACCGCACCTCCGCCTCCGACACACACCCTCCCCGTGAAAAGCAGGTTTGAGCGGGGCGCCTTCTTCGTCTTCGAGCCTGCCACCTGGGAGGTGACGCGCAAGGACAACTTTGTCGTGCACTTTGAGCACCTGGAGCGAGCGCCCCCGCTCCCGGGCAGGCCGCAGCCCGGCCTGCAGGCCAGGGCTTGACCGCTGCGCGCTCGCAGGCTGCGAGCGCCGGGCACCTGTGCGTGCCCGGGACCATGCGAGTGCCCCTTGCATGACTGGGAAGTGCATGGAGGTGGTCTGATGCTCTGGACTGCCCCTATGGGGCTCCAGAGTGCACCTTGGCTGGTGCTGCAACCCAATCCTGTGGAGGGGCGATAAATCTCACGCGTTCCACCGAGAGCGCGATGAAATGACGAGGGGCCGTGGCCAGATCCCCAATCGCAGTCAAGTCCCGCCTCCCAGTGCTCCAGGAGCGATCATTCACCCGTTTAAAAGGTCTCACATTCTGAAATAGTGTCGCAAACCTTCTGATTGACCTCACAGGGCAAGCGACTTCTCGGCTACAGGTGCCTCATGTCCAACGCGGAGCAGGTGTGCTCACGACCATGCTCCTGGGTGCACCCCTCGTTGCATTCAAGACGAAGAGTTGTATATAACCATTCTCTCCTGCATCGTGCCTCCCCGCCGCAGTGGTTTCGGATCATCGACAAGGACCGCAGCGGGTCGCTGGACGTGTTCGAGCTGCAGAATGCCCTGGCCCTGGGCAAGATCAACTTCAGCCTGAAAACCGTGCAGTCTGTCATGCGATTGTATGATGCGGATGGGAACGGCAAGATGGGCTTGCCGGAGTACCACCGGCTGCACTCCTTCCTCAGCAATGTCACCCTGGCCTTCCGGCGCTACGACACCGACAACAGCGGCAACCTGGACCAGGCGGAGGTCAAGATCGCCCTGCGGGATGCAGGCTTCAATCTGGACGATCCCGCCTTCATAGCTCTGTTCAAGTCCTTTGACCCTGACAAGTACGTCTGCTGGTTGTGCAGGAACGGGATGGCGGGATGGGCGCCAGTGACGAGAACATCGACTCTGTTCATGCCTTGGCCGACGCCCACGTCCATGGATCCCCCTCACTCCCCTCCCCCACCTGGTAGCAGGTCCAACTCGCTGTGCCTGACGGAGTTCATGGGGATGACCATCTTCCTGCAGAGCATCAGCGCGGCCTTCACAGCATTTGACCCCAGGCGGACCGGCCAAGTGTCCCTCAACTTCAACCAGGCCGTCTACTTTGTCAGCAATTGTACATAATATGACCTTTGGTGCCTTGTTGACTGTGCGTCCCACCCTTGACATGTCGTCATCGCCGCCCAGGCTCTCTGCTTCATTTGGTCCCGTTCCGTCCCTGGCGCTGGCTGTACCTCTACTGGCAGCGTGGCCTTGCTTGCCTATACTCCTTTCCTGTGCTGGGAAGGACACCTGACCACCACCCACCTCTCATTGACGTGCTTGCTGGCGGCTAGCAGACTCCTGCGGGCTGTCGAAACCTTTTTGTAGGAACAAGGATCAACCATACCAAACAGCCGGTACATGCGCAGATAGCATCTCAACGCTCACTCAGCGACTCTTTCCTGGCAAACATGTCGTCCACTCGGGCGGGCAGTCGTGCCGGGGCCCCCACCATTTCTTGTCCAGGGAGGGGAAGGTGGAAAGCACGAGCCAAACTGTGCAGCAAGGCGCTCTCGTTTTTGCCCCGCGCATCCATGCAGGCCATGAGTCCAGGCACGTCGGCGCACCCCGCAAAGGTTTCCTGCTCTGCATTCCCAAGCGAGTGCAGGAGCACGGCGCCATGCACTCCTGCGTGGCGGTTGGTGGGCAGGGCGTGGTAGGCGGCAGGGGCCGAGCACCCAGCCACATGCATGAAGGTTGAAGCTGGCACGGAGTCCCAACAGGACCTCATGCAGGATCCTGGCTCTGTTCGGCAAGACACAGGCAGGGTGTTCTCCAGCCCAGTCGCCACCCCAATACCCCCCAACACGGGCTTGGTGCCTACCGGGGTCAACCAGCATGGACCCAGAGGCTGTTTGGAGCACCCTGCGCCCCTCCCTGTCCACGCCGAGCACCCTGGCACGGACTTGGAAGGGGTAGACCGGCTCTGACGGCTGCGAGCTGCTTGCTCCAGAGGCCGCAGCCGCAGCCTCGGCACGAGCCCGGGCCTCTGCCACGAGCGCTGCCTGCTCCTCCAGGGTCATGCTCCTCCCATCGCAACTGCAATATTGCGTGGGGAAGATTAGCATGTGGTTGGGTCTGGGGCAAGGGATCGTACACCGAGGCGTTCGACTCCCTCCCAAAAGCCGAGTGTCTGCTCAGAACGGCACCTAGACTGGGGCATCCAGGATTCAGGCCCATCCACAGCCTACCTGGCAACGAGCACGGCAATTTCTTGGTCGCGCGCAGCCAGGATGGCCGCGCGCGTGGCCTTCCTCGCCTGGTGGCGGTAGAGAGATGGGGAGAGGGTGACACGGCTGTGACCGATGTCCCATGCAATGCCGAGGCGCAGCCACACGCATGCGGGGCGTGCAGGCGCCAGCTGCCTGGCCAGCGGCCCCCTCCACCCCCCCGGACCAGCCCCTCCCACCTGTGCCAGCTCAGCCTTGCGCTCCTTGCTCTCCTCTGCCTGGACCTCCATCTTCTTCTCAATAATCTCCCTGTACGCATGCAGAGAGAGGTGTTTTCCGCCACTCCAGCAGGGTCTGCTCAGCCAAGTGGCAGTGTCGCTCCGTCCGGAGCAGTGCGGCAGGCTCTCGTCATGCGGGCGCCGACAGGCTTGAAAACTCGGCCCCCTCCCTCCCACCGGAACCGACCTGAAGCGCCAGGTGTCCAGCGCGTCGTGCACCAGCGCATGCAGCATGGCGACGCGGGTCTCCGCCGCCAGTCCCCAGTACCCCCCGGCGGGGTACTCGGTGAGGGCAGGGGGGGTGGCGGGGGCGCACGCCCTCGCCGCCCACGGCTCCGCACCCGGCGGCAGCGTCGCCAGGTGGCCCGCCACGGCGGCGGGGGCGTCGCGGGCGGCGCTCTGCGAGGGCGTGTCCCTCCACCGCTCCAGGTAGGCGAGCATGGCGGGCTGCCAGGCCGTGGGTGCGACGGGGCCCTTCACCTCCCACGCCTCCCGGACCTGGCACAGGGAGCAGCAGGAGGGGCCGGGTTGTAGACCCCGGTGATTCCCTCATTCGTATCGCGCCAAATGAGAAGAGGTCGAAGGTGGGCCAGGTCTCCCGAAGGAAGACATGGCCACCTGCTGAGCCCCTTCACCAGCCCCCATCTCCAAGGGTGAAGAATTGGCTTCGCCAATGCCGGGCCACATAACAAAAGCAAGCGCCGCGACCCACCGTCTCGAGCAGGCGGCAGTGCAACGCGGCGCACTGGGAGGAAAGGGTGTCGGGGGCCGTGGCGGCCGTGGCGAGCAGCAGCTCGGCGGCCAGGAGGGGGGTGGAGAGGCCGCGCAGCTTCAGGCCGCCCGAAAAGGCCTCGACAAACTCCAGCACCTCCAGCAGCTGGGGCAGGCACGGTGCAGCGGGGAGCTGGAGGCGAGCCGGGAGGCTGGCGGCCCAACCCGCACCACCCCGCCTGGCCGGCGCCTTGTGACCCTGGCGGCCAGGCGCCAGTGCGACGCACAGCGCCAGCACTTCCTGGGCGGCGGTGGTGGTGGGGTGGACGGTGCAGGGGTTGGTCGTGCGGCGGGCTCGTAGGTGGTTTGCGTGCCCTTGGAAAGGCAAGGGCTGCTGGCATGCTGCATGATCCTGTGCAGTCAACGGGAGGCTCCACCAGCGGCTGAAGCTCGATCAAGGGCCCGAATGCATGCTCACCGGCAGGGGATCGGGCCGGGGCCCCAGCTCGGTGTCGACAAGGAGTTCTGGCGTGGCAGCGGTCATCGCAGCAGCCCCGGTCCTGGCCCTCTTCACGGCCGGCGCCGCGCCGCTTCCCTCCCTGCGCCGCTCCGCACTGAGCATGCTGAGGCCCTTGGCGGTGGGATTCTTGGCCAACAGCTCCGACACAGATTCGAAGCCGGCCGTGCGGGCCACGGAGGCCAAGATCCCGGTGGCCTCCAGCCCTTGCTTCTGCGGGGTGGGTCATGGTATGTGCTTGGAGCATGTTGGGGCACAGCCTGGGCTTGGTACCGCCTTCCAAACAGATCCTGTCTAGGGGTTCTGGTCTGCCAGCACCGACAAACATGCCAGCTGTGCTGCGCACTGACAAAGAGTTCCCTGGCGCATTCAGGATCGTGTGCTGCCCTGGTGCCTCCCCCTGTTACGCTGGGGATTACACTGCCCTTACCTTGCGGCAGTTGCTGCAGTTGCAGATGCTGGTGCAGCGTGGGCACTGCCAGTCTCCCAGAGCATTGACCTGGAGGTGAGCAGAGAAGTGACGCACTTTTCATTGCGTCCCTGATGAAGGATGCACTGCCGAGAGTCAATCGCCTTGATCATTGCTGGTCTAGTTCTGCTGGGGAATGTGGGGCATGCGGGTTGTCCCAGGCCAAGGTGCAAGCATCCCTCATCCTCCCACCAAGACCTCACCTCAGCCACAAACTGCTTGTATCGATTCTCCAAGCACCGAGGACAGAAGTAGAGGGTGCATTTCGTGCACTTTGCCTTCACCTCCACCGTCTTCTGCCGGCACTGCAGCGGAAAGTTACGGTCGCAGGTTTGGGGTCCGCGAACACCATCATCTCACCAGAGGCAGCTTCCCCAAGCGAAGATGCCCGTCACAGCCTCCGGGCCAGAGTCTATCTCTGTTCAGACTTAGATGCACAATTCAGAAGCAGAGCATATCCTCCCAGCCACCAGATCACAGTACCTGGTGGCAAGTCGTGCCGTTCTCGCTGTCATAGATTCGTCCGCCCTGGTGCCTCACCCCTGGGTTGGCCGTTCTCTGCTTCTTTGCCACAGGGGCCTCTGCAAGTAGGGACAGAGAGGAACCACTCGGAGGCTCGATTTCATCCTCTTGGTGTGCAAGGTCTTCTTAGCCTGCTCACTTGCCAGCTTCCAGGGCTGCACCGCCCTCAGCACAGAGCTTGGCAAGCCAGCCATGCTATAACAGCACTTACCAGGAGGAGGAGCAGCTGATTCAACCACAGCTGCTGCAGGTGCCACCCTTGGCATTGTTGGGTATCGAAGCGGCCGAGGCGCTCCCAGTCACGCCCTGTGCTCCGTGAGGATTTGACTGGCAGCTGTCGCTGGGTGGCGCCCACTCGGGCAGTCGAATGTCAGCCAATGAAACTCAAGCGCACAAGAAATAGCTCATTGAACACCCGATCTTAAGGTGGCATAACATGCACTTTGAGCCGGGAGTCACCATCGCGAGATCCGTGCGGCCTGTCCCGATCACTCGAGCGCAGTTTGTATGTCTCCCGCCAGTCGATTCTGGGCGCAGGCTCGTCCCATGCGGCACTGACAAGCGATGGCGACATCGGGCCTGCTGCAGCGCTGTGGCACTTTGAAACAAAGCATGCATTACATTTGAAGGTATTAAGATCTTCGCGATTTCGACTGCATTGGGTCCTAGGCATCACTCGGTCATCCACGCTCGCTCAGGTCATTTGTCGACTGTACACTAACCATCGACCAGTGTCTGATCGCCAGCGCCCTGTGCGCAGCTGGCTCCATTTGCGCCCGATGCAGCTGCGGGCTCACGCATGTCTGGTGGCGTGCCTCCTCATCTCGGCTGTGGTTGGGGCTGTGGCGGTGACCAGCGAAACCCCCGTCGCCAAGACCAGGCCTCTGGCCTTTCCGTTCAACGTCAATTTCAAGCCTCAGGACACTTGGGCTCCCGAGGCGGTCTTTGGCGTGTTTGTTTTCCTTTTCCTGATTAACATTTGGCGTGGGAGGCAGAGCAATGAGCGCCGAGCAATCTTCTGGGCCACCCAGGTTGGCTGGATGTCCTGGGGCAAGGCATTCCTACGAATGTATTCTGGAGGGGCTTAGGCAATTGTCACAGTGTCGCCTTGCCACGACAGATGGAAAAACACCCCATTCATTCACTCTCCCACTCTGCAGCTCATCTCGGCGGAGAGCCAGCTGCCTGACAACTTTGCCCTGATCGGTCCCGGCAACTCTGGCGAGGGCGAGGTGCTGGTCCGTGAGAGCATGAACATATACTGCGTGCATGTCTCCGGCCGCCGCTACTGCAAGGTGTGCATGGGTCATGCTCTCATGTGCCTGGCTCTGGCGTGGCCACTCTCTGGGCGCGGCCTGCAGCGGTCAGGGGGGCAGCTTTGCCTGGTCAACTGGCAGCCACGCCGACCATGCGTCAACACCCCCTCCCCACTTGGGCGCACCGCAGAGTGGCCGCCTGACCTTCTTCTTCCGGAAGCGACAGGACCTGCTGGCCTGGGCGGTGAGCGGCATTACCCGGTCCCCAGATGTCCTGGACATCCAAATCGACCTCAGCCCAGGGTCTATCCCGCCTCTGGTCCTGCTGATCGCCAGGGCTGGCCATGCCAAGACACTGGCCAAGGAGCAGGCCGATGTCAAAGTGAGGAGGAGCATGCTTCGGGCTGCTTTTTCTTATGGAGGGGGTGGTGGGCGAGTGATTTGTGAATTCATCTCATGAAGGAGTTCAGTGTCTGTATGCAGAAGCCCCTCGACAGTCCGGTGTGCCCACGATGACATCTTGAGCCACCAAGCCTGGCTGATGTCGGGATCTTCTGTGACAATCCGGCACATTCTCCTGCTGGCTGTCGCCCAGCTAGTTTCACGCTCCTCGACCCCACCCAATGGACAGACATTCACCAAGTTGCTGGAGGTGAAGAAGGACCGCCTGGCGGCATGGCCATCCATCGACCTGGCAGTCTACGCCGAGCAGGCATCCGCCTTCTACGACCTCATGACGCCCTACCTCCTGAGCCACTCCTTTGGACAAGGCGCCTGGGAGGAGTTGGGGACCTGCTTCCGCCACCTCCACATCACCAGCGAGGGCCAGGGTGACGATACCAAGCAGGCGAGACGTGCGGGGGGGAATTGTGGTGGGTGGAGGGTTGAGGTGATGGGTGGTGTGGCGAGAATGGTGCCATCACCGTTGCTGAAGGGGCCAATGCTGGATCATCTGCTGTGCCACCCTGGACCCTGCTTCCCTCTTCAAATTATGTTGCTCTCACCCCCAGCTTTGGAAACCCATACCACATCCACCCTTGCGACGAACAGTTCATCAATTTGTCGCTGGAATTGTCGGAGGAGAGGCAGTCTCGCAAGGTCTTGGAGTGGCTGAGGGCTGTCATCATCCTGATCGATTCCTTAGGCACATTCAAGTTCACACCAGGTACCTCTCGCTGCATTGTTCTGGGGAGGGGAAGGAACTCGGTGGGACAGAGGAGAGTCAGAGTGGCAATTCTATGGTATGTCCACGCGACTGACTCCAGCGCCCTGAGAAATTGGGACTAGAGTTATTCCTCAATGCTCAGCACGTTCACCCTGCATGCACATCCATGCGCAGAGCAAGCAAAGCGTGCGGCAGAGAACAGAGCCAAAAAGGAGGTTCTGGCCCTGAAAGCTGCTGAGCAGAAGCGACAGGAAGAGCTGATGGCACGGCGAGAGAAGAAGGCTGAGCAGGATCAGGTGGGA